TTTTAAAGAAATTTTATATTTTAGTTATTTATTTATTTTAAAATAAGTTCCGACGACATAGTTATTATTCACAATCGATCACATTCCGGAGGCAAATGTTCCAGCAGTCACAATGCAATTGTCCACCATCCTTATTTAAACCACTTAAGAGTCTTAAATTTAGATCTTAAATATATATATATTAGTGATTTTGCATTTGCGAATCCTATAATAAGTATTTTCCCGAAAAAAAAAAAACTTAACTCGAAGTAATGCAAACTGTTTATTCGATGGAAACAGTATTCATCGCTTTTTATCCTTCATCGAATGTAGCAAAAATTATTAGTTTAAAATTATTGCTGCTGATCAGTGGCGTAGCCAGGATTTGGCTTTGGGGGGTATGAAAAAAAAATTTCGATCGATAACTTAAATTTGTGATGCACAATGGCTAGAGGCGTCGCCTAAGTGCATTCTTTCATATATTTATGTATGTGCCAGTTTTACCGTCATATATTTTTTTATCTTTTCGTTTATTCTATCCCCCCAAATCCCCCCCTGGCTACGTCACTGCTGCTGATCAAGCACTGAACGTTTTCCGTAAGTAACACTGTTTACGTTGGTATTTACGCATAGATATTTTACTATTCCCAAATCGAAGTGGACATTTTCGTGCCTGTGACATAAGATATATTCAAAGTCTTGTTTAACAACCATCCAAAAAAGCCTCTGGAATCGAAATAATAACAACCATTTAACTGTAGCAAAAGTAACCCACAGGAAGTGTACCTACATACATACAAACATACAAACACTCAAGCAAAAACAAATTTTTGTCCCCTTAAGTACTGCCCCTCCAGGACTGCTGGAGCCATTCGCTACTTTTTAACCACTCATACATCGACTCCTAGGTAAGTGGCTACTCTATGACTACTTTGGTAACTCACGGTAGTGCAGAGAGAGCCGATGGTGACTACCGCCTAGGACATTGCCTTGTAAAAGTGAACGCTGAAATATACTGCAATCAGTCGGTCGGTAACTGACGAAGTTTACCGGGTAGCTACCGATTCATCAGTCCTGTAGTCGCTCTCCCGTACTGTGTGTTTGAATTTGATTAATGATTCGTACAGTGACAAAGACCAAAAAAGAAAAGATTTTCCACATTCACTAACCGAAAACAAAGACAAAAACAAAACCGCTAACGGCAACAATAACAAAAAGTGTCCCCACTCCAAAGAGATTAACGCTGGGTGACTGGCGAATCCGGCTGCCTCAGTTGGCGAAGCAAAGGTAGTTATGGTCGGAAATAAGTGGGGTAAAGGGAAAGAACCGCTGGCTGTTGTCCCTGCACGTATGTATGTATGTATGCATGTGTATGTTGCTATAATCTCTTTTTTGTCGCTGAAAATAATTAACTTGCATATTACCAGCACCCGCCCAATATCCGGTCGCAGAACAAAAAACTTTGTTATAATTATCGTCGCCTGCGGGCCATTAGCTACATAGCATGTTACTATTGCCGTTGTTTTTGTTGTTCTCTTTCTTATCGAATAGCCAAAATCCTTACATATGGCTTTATGTATATATGTATGTATGTATGCACATATGTGTGTATTTTATTTACATCGATTTTGTAGCTTATAAATTATAGTATTTAAATATGTACATCAATATGCGATAAGACCCATTTCCGGCAACCTCAGCGCGCGAGCATCATATTTGAATGTATGTATGTACATACTAAGGCATCCAATCCCGGACCATTTTGTGAATCCCGGCATTCCGGGATCTTAAACTGGTACGCCCGAGAGCCCGTGATATTTCGGGATGAAGAAAGGCGCGTTAAAATATTTGACGGCAAAGAAGGACGCGTAAACTTATTTTCGCGCGGTCGACTATGTTTGCGGGTGCAACAGTATGTAAATTCCCCAAAAAGATTTGGGGGAATGATGCTGAAGTGACAGTCCTTGGCCAATTATAAATCTATGAGTACGCGTCTTTCTTTGCCTAAGTTTTTCTTAAGCGTCTCTTTTGGTAAATATTTTTATGCGTGTCTAGTGACGATCCCGAATCCCGGTACAAGACGCATTGGTACATACAAAAACATACATTAGACTGCATCACTACTCATAGAAAAAAAAATTCGTACTATTTTTCCATTGGAATTATAAAATCTATTATATTTTAACCACCAAAATATTTCGGAAAAATATTAAGATTTAAGTGAGCTGGACCGATTTGAAAATACCTTCAAAAATGGAGTTTTTTTATGAGTAAAAATAGTTTCTTAAAGATTTTTGTTTGAAAAAATCTCCTCAAATGACAAAACGCTTAAAAAATTGACATAAAAATATACAAAAAAAAATAAAAATTTTGAACGGAATCGTAATATTTAATGAGATTTTTGATGCTGTTTTTTATATTTTTTCAAAATCTTGAATAACTGAACCTAAACTCTTCCGATTTAGACTTAAGAAGTGCCATTGGTATTTTCCACCATTTTTATTTCTTTGTTAATAAAGTCATTCAAAGAATCTGAGGGGACTTTTTTCAAAAAGTTCTTTAAGAAACAATTTTTATTCATAAAAAACGCCATTTTTTGAGGTATTTTCAAATCGGTCCAGCTCACTTAAATCATAATATTTTTCCGAAATGTTTTGGGTGGACGTCTTAAAATATAATAAATTTTGTAATCCCGGCGGAAAAACTGCAACTTTTTTTTGGTGATGCAGTCTAATGTACATACATATATGTATGCAGGGATGAGGTCAGCGTATGACTTTTGTTGATGTTTGTCACCACCCTCGCCTAAAGCTAATGGCCAGAGTGGTTGTTTTTAAACATTTTATAGCAAATATAAATCGAGTACTTAAATAAATGCATTTTTTAACTAAACCGAATGACGATTTTATGATGCACGACAAAATAACAGCGCAATAAAATAAAACAATTTCAGATCTAAAAGCTTGAAGCAACAATTTTGAAAGCATATTTTCCTCTATCGAATGTCAGAGACACTCTCAGCTGGCTTTTGGTTTTGCTGCACAATTGCCTCGCAATAAATTTCAATTTTCAATGCTCACCATTCACTTCCAACTTTCAACCGGTGTATACATACAGTGACGAACAAAAGTATTGGCACAGTGAATTTTTCGCCATATATGCTACGTTTTTTATTCTAATTTATTTTCGATAACTTTTTATAAAAATACAGTTCATTTTACACCAGAAAACGTAATAATAAAATCTCTAAACTTTGTGCAAAACTCAGGAAAATTTTTTAAATTTGCACACTAATTTGCAACTTTTTATTCAGATTTTTCAAAAAAATTCAAGGTATGCAGTTTTATAGCCTATTCAAATTTAGTATAACAAAGTGCAAGCTTAAAGTTGCTAGAAAATCGCGTTGATTTTTGGCAATTTTTTTAGTGGAAGGTGTTGCTCATTTTCTCCATACAAAAAATAATTGTCGAATTACTTTGTATGGAAGAACTTGCGTGAAAAAAAATTACCAAAAATCAATGCGATTTTCTAGCGACTTCAAACTTACACTTTGTTATAATAAATTTGAATGGGCTATAAAACTGCATACTTAGAATTTTTCTAGAAAATCGGAATAAAAAGTTGGAAATTAGTGTGCAAATTTAATGAATCTTCCTGAGCTTTGCACAAAGTTTAGAGACTTTATTATTATGTTTTCTGGTGTAGAATGAACAATATTTTTATAAAAAGTTATCGAAAATAAATTAGAATAAAAAACTTTGCATATATGGCGAAAAATTCAGTGTGCCAATACTTCTGTTCGGCACTGTATATGTATGTACGAGTACCTATGTAATTATGCATTCTAAGTAAATACCTACATACATACATACATATTTATATAAATAAATAAGCTGGTGGAAATATGTGGCAATCAATACCTTTGCGGCATTTAAATTCTTAGAATGTCGGCATAATTGCAATTAGTTGCTCGTAATTGTTATTAATTGCAAATTTTCCAAGGGCTCAGGTCTCGGTCATGCACAGATGCAATAAAAATGCATTAGCACATAGCTTGCGGAACAAATAGACAAACAAACAAACCAATGTTGAGCCGAGCCGTGGTGACTTGAATTGTTGAATTGCTGGTAAGTGAACTTTCCATTCGTTTGCAGGGAAATTGAAATGGAAATCACTTGGCCTTTGAAATACATAGTTAGCTTGTATGCAAGTAGCTTCATTTCGCATTGTGAGTGAACAAAATAATAAAAGAAAATTTGCAAATTCAATAACGTACATATGTTCGTTCATCTGAAAGGCAATGCAATAAACTGCTTATAGCGAAACAATAATTGATATATTTAGAATTCTTTGCAGAGTCCAAGAGATTGCTCATACCATTGCCACGTGCGACATAATTTTTGTTTTTGTTTACTCTGGTTGCTTGCATATTATTGCATATAATAAATTGAAAATTATGTCAAAATTTTAATAAAAGGAAGGAAAGATGAATTTTGTAAACAAGTTAAGCAACAAAATCAGGAAAACTGCATAAACTTTTCAAGTGGCCAAGTGCCAAGTTTAAAAATGAGTTTAAAAAGTTGCCAACATGCTAACGCTCTCAATTTACTCATAACAAGTAATCAAAAAAAAAAAATTTAAGACAAGCTTTTATTAGGGCCATAAATATGAAAAATCCGTCCCCACATCACCTAACGGCTAAATTTCTTTTTGGTGTTATTTCTTTAAATTTAAGTAATACTGGTTCGAAAATTACAGATTAGAGATATCAAAAAACTTAAAATCTATAATTTTCGTTTCAGTTTCAGTGTATTTTTTTCTGAACAAAATCAAAGGTAGTCGACCCATTTGGGAAAAGCTATAGGACGAAAACGTTAAAAAAAAAACTTTATTTATTTTTTTTTTTGTAAGCTCTTTGTAATCTTTCTCACGTCATCTTTCTTATTTTTAATACATACTAAATAAATATTCCCAAAATAAAAATAATCACTGCTTCTTTTCAATTCAATTCATATTTCCAGGTTGACATCTTAGACACATCCGGCGATATGCAATTTCCCGCCATGCGACGTCTGTCCATTGCCACCGCCCATGCGTTCATGCTGGTCTATGCGTCAACATCCGCGGCAAGTTTTCAATGTGTCAAACAGTGTTTCGAAGAGATACGCGAACAGCGCGCAGACTATCAGGTAAGTAAGTTGGACAACAACCAAATAAAAAATTCGAATTTTGCAAAGCAACAAAGAAGTGGGGGGAAAATAAATCATACGGCAAGCCAAATATTACCAATTTACAGTTTCGCTAATTTAGAAGCTTACAAATTTGGAGTTTTGTTTTATATTAGCAAAGTTTATCAAGCTGCTTAAGTAAATAGATACATTCTCATAGTTTTACACAAAGGCTACCTAACAGCATTCGTTTTTAAAAAATTTACCCCAATTTAATGTCAAAAACATTTTCTGTTAAAAAGTTTAAATATTTATGCTCCATGCGCAACAAAAATTCCAACTTTTTTATGCTTGTTACATACATACATTTCGTTACCCTAACATCTCATATCGTCGCTGAAATGCAAAAAAGCCGTAACTGAATAAAATTTTTTATTGCATAAAAGGATAGGGGGCATATAATTCGATGAAATACATCATAATAAATAAAAAAAATAATAATTTTGTATTTGTAGTTAGTTACAACTTTTTGCATTTAAGCGACAGTGTGATATAGGGCCTTTCTATATTAAGGTAACGATATGTATGAACTTGCATTCTTCCAATTAAATTTCACAAATATTTTACATTTCCATAACAGAAATCAATTAAAAATTGCAAGTAAATATGTGTATAATACAATTTCACACAAAAGCATTTGGGGTGTGGAAAAGTCATTTTATTTTCAATATTAACCCGTCAATGGCAAAAATCCATAACTAGATTGGAATTACATAATGTAAAACATGTACATACATATGTATAGCCAATTCAGAGTACGATCATTTCTGTTTGATGGGCGTGTCAATTGGTGATAAGCAAAACAATTTGTCAACTACTTGGAGATTAATGTGACATACGCAACAAATAAAATCAGAGAATAAAATATAACAGAAATGAGAAAAAACGGAAGGTCTTCTCCACAATTTCACAAATATGAAATCCCAGCGAGAAATTCGCTGCATGAAAATCCTAAATCAAAATCTTCTGTCTCAGTAATAAAGGATTCCATGGTTTCGAGCCGCTTTCATACGCAAGTCGCTTGATGGTTAATTAACGTCAAATTACTGTCCAAAGAAACTATTGCAGAAAGAGTTAACCAGAGGTATCTGAAAATTTTATTTAATTGTACTGGAAGTCAATTTGTACATAAAATTACTTTTAATATTGGTTTTCACTAGGCAAAAATATAGAAAATATGTGAAACAATTTAGCATTGAAGTTTTCGACGTTATTACATTAAAAATAACAGCCATTAAGTTATTCTGCTTGTAAATTTTGTATAAGAGTAACTAGTGGGAACTCGGCATAAGATGGCAATCAAAAATCGTTAACTTTAACTACGGTTGCTAGAGACGTACTGATTTTATCAGTACAGTACTGATTTTTCAATTCTTGTACTGATTTTATTTATTTCCTCAATCAGTACGCTAATGTCCTGATTTTTAAATTATTTAAAAAGAAGGCTGACGTCGTTTTGTCGAGTATTGTTAGTTATCTCGAAAATAATTTTCATTTGAATAACAACAAATTTTAGTATTCGAATTTCTTTTACAATTCTTTTTTCTCAATTTATTGACATTCTAAAAGAGTTTTGCATACAAGACATAGAGTTAGATACACTTTTTAGCGAATTAGTCTTGCAAAAATTTTGCGTAGTTGAAAAAATTTTATTTAAGCCATGAGGAAATATAGATGAAGTCCTTAAATAGAGGAACTTTTCCACAGTTTTAACATATACGTAATTTTTTTTTTATTTTCAATACCACCCTCAAACGAAGCAACTGAGAGGATCTTAAGTATAAAGTTTGCTTCCTGGCACAGCAAAAGCACAATCACAGTAAATCGACAGCAATAAATTGTTTCCAATAAACTGCCGATAAAAAGAATTAAATTTTCAAAATTACAGCAAAAGCGAATGAAAATCAAAAATTTCAAAGCGAAGCAAAATCAAAAATAATAGTGCTGTTGCTGCTGTGCTGTTAGTTTTTCAAACCCTGGTTATATGTTACTTACATTCATAACCTGGCAACCCTAACTTTAACCCACTGTAAAAAATATTTGATGACGTTGATCGAAAAATCCTCTGGGGTTTGACTACCACGCTCGAATATTACCTTTTAATAAGTATAACCTTTGAGGCCCTAAAACGGCTGTTCCACAGTGTAAGTAACAAAATTAAAAAATTTAAGTCTAGTGAATTTTTCCTTGGTTCAAGTGGGATCGGAAGCTTCAAATAATGCACTGCTGGCGTGACGTACATATGTATTCCTTGATCTTGAAATGTAGGAGAAGGAAAAGTGTCTAAGATAGATGCAAAAATATAAAAAATAGAATACTTACTTAAAATTAAAATTACTTTACTATACCTTCAAAGTTTTGTTTTTGTGATTTCTTATTGCCAGCTTTTCCATTTGGTAGTATGAAATTGTATCCTTCCTGTCCTTCCACGTTGTATGTACATACTCACATAAACACTATTGTCCATTGATTTGTACGTTTCCTTCTCTTTTTCATTTCATACATATCTTCCTCTCCAAGGATATTCCTATTGTAATCGTCGGCAATAAATCCGATTTGGCCAATACACACAGGGAGGTTAGGCTGGAAGAAGTCACAGACTGGGTGTACTGCGAATTGCCACGATTAAGGTGAGTTCAAAAAAAATAAATAAAATACTTATGTATAAATACACACACATACCTGTTCAAATTTAAACTATTTTCTGTTGTTATACACTCTCTCATAAATACACATTCGGGATTTGGCTCTGGGTATTTTATATGATTTATGAACTAAATAAACTGCATTGTTTCCGAGGGTTTCCACTTATGTATGCAAACATCTATGTACATACATATGTTCGTACTCATGAATTTGAGTGGAAGGCTAGTGATTTGCTGCCACAAAAAAAAAAATGAAACATCCAAGTAACGTCCATATTGGCATCGGCAATTGGCTGGGACAAAAATATGCAAATTGACGAAATAAATATGTTTCAGCTGAGAACAGTCAATTTGCTGTTAAGTGTTACGATTTGAGAACACCAAAGAAGTATGGAAATCATACACTGAGGAAAAAAAATTTTAGAATTAAAAAAAAAACGTGCTAAATTACAAAAAAAAAAATTGTATACGAAAGAGCACAAACCCAACTCGTTTTAAATTTGAGTATGTACGTTATAAAATATGTCGTTGTGAAGTGCACACATGCTTTTTCTTCTTCTTCTTTTTCTTCTTTCTTACTCGGAATCAAAACAAGTATGAAGAAAATAGTCGTTAAACACATATTTACTTATAAGATACCAAGTTTGCGATATCTCCTACTTTATAATTATACCTTCTGCGGCTAACGGGCTACACAAGCGATATATCTCTTATGATGTTTCGTATGCGAGCGCCCATAGCAGGTGTAGGCGTGCAGTTAGTAAATCTTGTCTCCCAGGCGAACGAATTTACCTGGTAAGAACTTTTAGTTCGAGTGGTCGGAAAAGGTCTGGCTTCTCATCACATTTGGAAATCAGCTTTCATGCCAACACTGGAACTTTGACTGGATCTTAGCCGCACGAAACGCCTATAAATAAGCATACAGGAAGTATGGATTATTCATTAAAAAAGGACAATTGACCTCCATCCGTGGGTGCTACAAATCAGCAGTCATATAAACTCACAGTCTACTGTGGGGAGACAACAAGCTTCTCATTGGATTGAACAGATCTGTAGTCCGAGTTTAGGAGGATGACGCCAGCACATTGATGGTTACTTACCAAATCGAGGTTTCAGAGAAACACATTTATCTAGATGTCGTAGCTAAAGTCATTTTTCAGTGTGCCGAACTTTTTATGATATTGAAAAAGGGGATTCGATTAATTCTGTTCTATGTTCGGAACCATGTTTTTTTATGTGACGCAGGCCACTCTGAGGGAGTGTGATCCTGAAATGAAATTAACTATTCTCCCTCTTAAGTAATCACATATACAGGGTGCGTGTCATGCTGCCATAACGAGACCTATATATAGTATATTAAAATGCGATTCAAAAACAAAAAAGTTTAATGGAGTTAACATAATTAGAAACAAAAAAAATGCAACCCCAACAGTTCCAACGCGAAGTCAATCAAACAGCGGACGTTTTTAAGAAGGGAACAAACAGCCCTTGTCACGAACCACAGTTAATCGGATTTCTGGCAGCACACATTTCTCGGTTGGCGGGCAATTGTGTCACCGCCAGCAGCAGCAGTCGCAATTGCGCAATCAGTGCAAAGCAATGCAATTCCTGGCCAGCCTGTGAAATGCAATGTAATTATTGTAGCAAATCGAAAATAGCGGTATCGCCCCGCCTCCGCCCTCCACCTACCTAGTACCATCAGCGGAGGTGGAGGAGGGTGCCACTCATTTTACTCATGTAAATACCAGCAAACACGCAACAATTTGATGGGCCAGCAAGTAAACAAACAATCAGCAGCAATGACTGCAACGATTTACATAGAACAAATGGAATAAATAGCAATGCGGCAAGGCAGAGGAAGCAATGCGCAGATGGAGCTAAATAAAATTAAAATGCAAGCGAAGTGTAAACTAAGGAAGTGCTAAAATAGAGTGGTGGAGTGCAGTAAAAAACAAACAAACAAACGTTGATGAAATCGCTGAAGCGAACAACCGCAAAAGACATTCAAGTTGCTGTAGCGCGCCGAGTGAATGTGGAGACTGTAAAGGTATGTAATTGTCGACGGGTAAAGGTGAGGACGCTCGATCTACGGCACGGTGTTGTGTTGCAACTGGCATGTAATGAGAAAATTGCACGCCATATGGAAATTTTTGAAATTTTTTCCTGCAAGCATCAACGTCAAAAGTCTTTTATACTAACTACACACTCAGCCAAGAATGAATGTCCCTATAAATGACTTACCATTTAAATAGCGATCATAGCGATTGCTAAGAACCCGTACATATGTATATCTATGTATGTTTGTATGTAAAAAGGAAACGAAAAAAGATAAAATGCCTTTTACCTTTTCACGTCGCTTGAGGATATTAAGACATCCTCTCTGCCATCGCGACACAAGCTGTGGATGGATGGCACATTATCATCAGGATCGACAGACAGACCTCAGTACTCTTTCGAGATCAAACTTCGAAGCTAAAAAGAGTTAAATAGGGCGTCGCAAAGGGTGTTGCTCTCTCCTCTCTCTACAGTTTAACTTCTACATTTCAAAGATTACTCAGGCGCCGGCGGGAGTTTCAGGGATCTCATAAGCCAACCACCCCTCGATCTTGGCATGCGGAAATGTTATTAATTAGCTATGTTTTACGGTATTCGTAGGGCAACTACGATGTACGGAGCTTAACGCTTTCGTGTGGACCCTTTTACCACCTGGAAGAATGCGAGAAAGCGCAAAACGAAGGGTTCATAATTCGACAATTTAGCGGTTGTCTTTGATCGCGGACGTAAGTGTAATTATTGTTTACGTAAATACAGAACCGCTACAAATCGGTCGCTGGATTGGGGCGGAGCCTGCTTTAGAATCGCTGACTGATGGAACGCAGTGGACGAAGCTACAGATATGTCAGAACACCGGACTCCGGACTTCAACGGGATGTCTCTTGATATTGACTGAATATCACTTACATAGCGGGGGAACATTGTTTTGTGCCCAGCAGCAATTTATGCTCGGCTACTAGCGGCGGGAACCCCCCAATAGACACTTGCTGACAACAAGGTCACCTCCTACAGATGTCAGAAGAAGGGATGGCAATCAAAAAAATAAAATAATCCATTAATTAATCATCGGCGAGTGGCCAATTCGTTGCCATTGACGATTGTTGCCTATTTCTCATGTTTTGCATGGTGGGTAATGATTAATAAAAAAATGTAAAAACAAACAAATTCTGAAAGAATGTTTGTTCTGCTCCATTCAGAAATGGTGAATTTTTCGCCATTTTTTCGTAATTAACTCAAAATTTTGAGGGTGAACGAGTCAAACGGACCTCACATTCGGATTCACCGGGTCGGAATACATGTCGGTAGGTGGGCCTGGTTAGAAGGAAACACCTCTAATTTTGTGCCGGTTTTGTTATTATTCTCCCTATCCCTCCACTACAAAATATTTGAACTTCTTTTACCAGAACATAGGGTAAATTATAATTAAACAATTATGTAACTTTTTCTTAAAACTCTCTGTTTCTTTACATTCGTAGAAATCTTTTTCAAAATTACAAAATTCAATTTAAAATTACAATTCCAAGCTTTTTGTTAATTGCAGTCAAGACGGCATTTTAGAAAAAAACACATACACTGCCGTAACAAAGTATTGGCACAGCAAATTTTTCACAATATATGCAACAATTTTTATTCTAATATTTTTCCGCCAATTTTGTATAAAAATATTCAACAACATAAACATAAAAATATAATTCCTAAACTTTGTGCAAAACTCGCGAAAATTCAAGAAATTTTCATAAAAATTTTCAACTTTTTAATCAGATTTTTTAGAATTTTTTTGAGTATGCAGTTTTGCAGCCCATTAAATTCTAGTAAAAAAAATGCAAGTTCGGAGTTAGTCACAAACGGTGTTGATTTTAGAGAATTTTTTTATTGAAGATGTTTTGCATTTTTCCATATAAAGTATTTTCGAAACAAATTTTTTGAATGGAAGAGACTGCGTGAAAAAAATTGCCAAAAATCAACGGTACTTCCTAGTTACTTAAAACTTGCAAAATTCTAAAGAATCTAATTAAAAAGTTGAAAATTTTCATGAAAATTTTCTGAATTTTCGCGAGTTTTGCACAAAGTTTAGGAATTATATTTTTATGTTTTTTTTTTTTTGTTGTAGAATGAACCATATTTTTAAACGAAATTAGCGGAAAAATATTAGAATGAAAATTGCATATATTGTGATAAATTTGCTGTGCCAATACTTTGTTCCGGCAGTGTACTTTAAAATTCATAAACAAGTGCTTACTATCAATGCGATATTTCAAATTTTTCGGGATCTCAATTTTTCGGACCTCAAAAAACACCGGTATAACTGGTATGTATGCTCACACGCTAGAGACCGCATTTGAATATTCCAAATATGTCCAATGGCATATTCAAAGAACTGCGCCCATCCACCTTACTCTAATTTCCAATCACATGTACAGACATAAGTAGATATTTGTATCGATTTTTCTGTGCAAATTTCGTTTACCCACTTATGAACATACTTACGTACCTACGTACTTCTGTACAAAAACCGTAAGTATACGGCAGCTGACTGACTTTTGAGACAGCGCTACTCGTGTGCCTGCCTGCTTCATCCTAAATTGCCTTTGCCACACTTTATTGCTTGTATTTTCTGTGATTTTTCTTTTCACACTTGTCAAGCAGCATGCACGAGCGGTTCACTCACTGTTTTAGGACGTTTGTAAACATATTGCATACATACATACATACATACATACATGTATGCAGACGCGGGCCATTGGTGTCGCCCCTGGGTGGGTTCTTTTTGTTATATTCCGTGCCATTGACAGTGACAAATCGTCCTTGGCCCCGTCGGAGTGTGAGCGCTTTGAGTCTACGCCGCCACTACTTGCATCGCACAATTTGGTTTCATATGAGCGCCTTGAGTCTTTCATTTCACTTTTCAAAAGTGAAAAGTCCTTTCTAGT